AACTCAATCTATTTACCTGGAACGATAACATTCAGTCATTTGAGAGTTAAAAAGTGAAGCCTCGCGTGAGCAACGCGTGAGCAGTGGCTTCAGCTCTCCATGCCATTTCCACGCCATATACTACGTCAGTTTCGTCCCTTATACTGGCTCACCGCGCGGTGTATCACAAATCAGCGCGCGTCAGCATACTGGCGTTAGCACGAAGTGGCGTTGGCATTGGCTTCACGTTTCTCTCATGTTATCGTTCCAGATAAAAGAAATGGAGTTCACTGGGCTTCAATTACCCTTCCAAAAAAAAAATTCGTAATACTGAACGCACTATTATGGCCTTTTGTGCTTGGTTTCGAAAATTGATACGCTATAATATTTAACAAAAATTTGCCGAAGGCGAATTAGTGATAACGTACCGGTGAATATTCACCGAAACGAAGTCGAGGTGAATATTCACCGTTATCGATCACTAAGCCTGAGGCGAATAATTGTTTTAGTATAATTTTTTAATGAATAAAACAAATATCCAAATATCAATTAAATTAAAATTCAGAAATAAAACTGTTTTCGGCCGGTTTAATTACGGTTACTGTTTTAAAGCAGTGTTACTTGTACACGCGCACGCTTTCAAAATGGCTTCCTGTGTGACTTTATCTTTATTACAAAGTTGTTTTTGTCTCCATTTCTGCTTAGAATGTACACACAATGATGAGATGACTTTTTCACCAAACTTAAAATTTAAATTTCAGAACCATCCTCAGAGATACGAAAAACCAGTTTCATATTATTCTGGTTTAAAATTTAAAAATAGTTTCTGTTTAGCATTAATTTGTTCAGGAAATGTCTGAGAAAATTGGTAAAATTGAATGTAAAACAATTGCTCGAATGCCTGGAAATAAAGTTTTAATACACTTTTCACTTTGCAAGTCTCGAAGACAGGACAGCGGCAGGACACCATACACAGCACAATAAAAACATGACATAGGCCTATATCGATTTTTTCAATATTTTGTAGATTTTGAAAAACTAAATTTGCCGAATCATTCTTTTTGAAAAGCATTATTTACTCGTCAGGTGGTAAATAATACGTCAGATTTACTAGTCAACTAGCCAATCAGAACGCGCGAAAGCTCATTTGATATACAACATTTATACTAAATACAATAGCTATACGCTCATCTGGCTATATTACTATCATTGCATGCAAAGATTTATCAATATTTCTCTTTTTTTACATAACACCGCCTTTGGCTTAACCATGCAAATTTTAGTTTTGAAAGTGAAACATATTCGCAGTGTTTAGCGTGCCTACGTGATTTTCAAACCAGAGTAATGCTCGACTCAGCATGAGTATCAGGTTCTTGTTTCGTCTTCTTTAATTAAATGCGTGTGTATGGAAGGAAAATAGGGCCTGGCACAAATCGCTTTCTGGCTGCACGGGGAAAATAAGGCAAATTCCTAATTGATCTATCAAAGCAAGAATGCTAATAACATACTGTTGTTAATTATATCGTGAAATTTATAAACTTCTGCCTCAGGGACATTTTGATTTCATGGATGCTAAATATAAACTTTACTGTTGGTGGAAAACGTGTGTCACGCTCTGTTTGCAAAATGCCTGATATTCATGGCTATGCTCGAATTACTTGTTCTACCTTCAAACCGATAACTATTGGCTCGAACTTTCACTAATTTTGCGGAATTATATCTGCTTCCCTCGGGCAATATACACATGGGGAAATAGCTGGAAATGCATTTTTCAACATTTTCTGGACCCTCCTACAGGAATGTTGGCTGCAAACTTACTTCAACTCAGCACCTGCCAGCCCCCTTCCCCAAATCGTAAACTGTCCGTGTGTTTCCTACCATAATTTATGCAGTGGTAGTAGTATAGGAGGATATTGGTATGGTATGGCAAAACTTTATTTAAACACGCTTGCCTCGTCAACATGGTGCTGATTTCCACGAGGAGCGTCACACAAATAATACAAAGAAAATAATCAAGTTGGACAGTTACAATTTAAAAATATTATATACAACTATATACAAAAGTTAGATTAGCACACATATAGCACAGAATCATCCTCTAGCTTGCACCTATCTCTTTTTTGAAGCAGCCGAGAGTATCCGCCGATTTAGCTGCAGCCGAAAGGTCATTCCATAACATAGCGGCACTGTACTTAAAGCTTCTTCTTAGATATTCTGTTCTAGGTTTTGGAAGAGTTAGATCATTTTCGCTATTTCTGAGATTATAGGTATTTTGTGTCACATTCCTTTTGTGAAGAGATTCTTTTAGACCCGGGGCAGCGTGGTCATTTAGCACTTTGTACATAAACACAGCCTTGGACTTATTTCTTCTATTGTCAAGTGTTTCCCAAGACAGGGTATTAAGAATGTCAAGTGACCTTACATCGTAAGTGGCACCAGTTATTACCCTTGCTGCGCGAGACTGAAATTTTTGTAGTTTGTCTTGGAGCAATTTACCACAGTTTCCCCATAGGGTGAAACAATAGTTAAAATATGGCTGCACTAGTGCTTTATGTACTATTTAAAAAACGAGCAGGAGTGTTTTATTAGGTTTAAAGCCACGAGCGCGCAGCGCGAGTGGCTTTATACCTAATAAAACAAAACCTGCGAGTTTTAAAAAATGGCTTCAAAAACGTTTGCATAATAAGTCAAATCTTTATATAAAAATCTTTATATAAAAATCTTTATATAAAAATCTTTGTATAGTTTCCATAACAATGGTCTTTTGTTAAAGTGTTCTTTAGCTGGTATAAAGACGTATGCACGTGACTAATTTCTTACTCAAGATTGGATAATTGCTTCATGAATTATTAATGAGTTTTTGAAATATGTTTTGTAGTGTATTAATATCAACGTACGGTTTAGCGCGTTTAATAGCCCCAATACCGGCTGTTGCCTTTTTACATATTTTATCAATATGTTTTAACTCAAATTTTCATCGATTTCTACTCCTAAGCTTTCAAAAGAATGAGTTAATGGTGCTGTATATCCAAATTGTTTCGTATGTAGTATAGACTAGAACAATTGTCACATGTCACTAAGACAAAATTATATTGATTGTATATTTATTCCGGAACAAGTTGCCTTCTGATGTCAAATCATTGCTATCCTTAATATCATTGTAGTCAATTTGCTGTATTCCGATTGGTTAAAAACCGTGCCGATTAAACATTAATCGCACAGGTGTGTGAATTAAAGATTGATCGGCACGAATACGAGCCCGTGTGCATTAAACACAAAATCTACAACAAGTAAATAACCTGAAAATTTATATTTTCTGAGCTCTTGTTTTGCAATAAGCTCTTTATAAGTACGTTTTAATGATGAAGAAAACAACAAATAAAGATTATTCATGACATCTTTAGTACTTACAAGTATGAATTGAAGATGAATGTCAGAAATAACTCTCAAAATTGACAAATTAAAGGGCGCGCATGCATGGCTGTGAGCGCTTCAATAGATTAATACACATGTTTCTTTCCATTGATTGCTCATAAAGTTGACTGTTTATAATAACAATTATTATATACACAAGGTCTGGATATGAGGTATTCTGCAATCTGATTGGTTCTCTACTAGCAGGATATTAGCTCATATCCTGCTAGTAGAGAAAAACAAAATGGCGACCAAACTGAATTTACGATGTTTTGCAAACGAGAAAACGGCAAGTTGTCGCTTTTTATAGCCTTCACAGGATTAAAAACACAATGAAAATACTCCCACAAATTGTTTTCAGGTTAGCAAATAAATTTTTAATATTTATTAAAATGGTTAAAACATATATTTTTGAAAAAATAATCGGCCGAAAGAGCGAAGATAAAAACATAAACAAAATAGAAAAATATTGAAAATATTCGAAAAGCAAAGTCTGTGAATTCAGACCTTGTGTATATAATAAAACAGTTATTCTACGAACTCGAGTCGAATATGAGCTGATAGCCGATGAGGCGCGTAGCGCCGAATCGGCTATCGCTCATATTCGCCGAAAGCGAAGTGATTACCAGTGACTATGTATAGGTAATAGCATGGTTTCGAGTGCAATTTGGATATAACATGCACGAGTGAGTTTTTCAAAGACCTCAAAATAGCACGAGTCCGAAGGACGAGTGCCGGCTATTTGAGGTCTTTGAAAAGCTCACGAGTGCATGTTTATCCAAATTTCATGAGAAACCATGTTATTACTCAAAAAATCAGCAAGACAAGCATGACAAAATCAGCAAGACAAGCATGGCGGACGGACACTTATTTGTGAGCTCTGACGCCGAATTAAGCGATGTTGAAGAGAATACAACAAAAAATGTAGAATCTAAGCGAGTGAATAACATCAATGTCGTTAAGTATCTTAATATTACTGAAAAAGGAAAACTCAGATGGACAGGTTCTTTCGAGAATCTCGAAATACTGATGAACGAGTTGCTCGAGACACAGACAAAATGGTCATCGCCTGGTGGTCATTGTAAGCTGCTAGAGATGGACAACTTCGAAATGCGGTGGTATTCAAACAATTACTCTTTAATTATTAAAGGGGAGCAAGACGAAGTCGAAGAAATAAACTCTCGGTTGCAAATAATGGCCAACCTAGCTGATAAAGAAACCGAGTTATCAAACGCTTTTGTCAGTGAAGGAAATGGCGACAGGGAGGGAGACGGCGTAAATACAGCCTCGACCGAAAACAGTCATATCGAAATAAATTCACATGAGACATCGAACTACAACAAAGTACTCGACAGTATACGAGACCTTGAACTGTGTTTTGTAAACAAATTCGATGAGCTTTTGCAGGAAATTCGACAGTCCAAAACAACAGAAGAAACTATCAGTGAAGACCGAAATTCCTTAATTAAAGAAAATGGCAAACTGAAGCAAGAAATCGACATACTATCGGACCAAGTCAATAACTATAAGTGTATTGCATCGGACTTACAGACGAAAGTTAAACAACCAGAAGATGAACAGAAAAGTTTAATAACAGCAATCAAAATTGTACAAAATGATTGCAATACAAATAAACAAAGTACATGGTCATGAAATGTTGTTAAAAATCGTAAGCCAAATCAGAATGAAAGCACACAACGTGGACAAAACTCTGGGGAAAATAGTCACAATGGACAATCCAAGACAGATAATCAATATTCTGTTTTAGTTGATGAAAGTGACGACGAGATTAACATATTATCTCAAAGTCGATTACCTAAGAATAGAAATCAATCTGAACCACCCAGGCACACCATCAGGTCCAATGAAGACAAAAGACATAACTATTCTGCGCCTAGAAAACAACAAGCAGACAACGACCGAAAAAGCAACAACAACGAGCGAGCCCAAGATTCTCGCAGATCTCCGCGCGTATAGGACAATCAAGAGTTGCTATTTTGGGCGATTCTATGCTTAAACAAATAAACGCGAGACGAATTCAACAAGGAATGAAGCATAAAATTGTTGTAAAAACATTTCCTGGTGCGGGAATAAAAGAAATGAATCACTATGTAAAACCAACGCTACTCACGGCACCAAATAAGCTTATTTTACACGTCGGAACCAATGATCTACAAAGAATGACGCCAGATGAATTGTTGACACATGTACAAAAGCTTGGAGAGAGCATTACTCGAGAAAACGGGAATATTGAATTAGTTTTATCAGAAATCATAACAAGAACTGACGATAAAACATTGGCTGATAAGGTAAACGAATATAACAAGGGATTAGCCCAACTATGTATAGAACGAAATTGGTGTCTTATCAGGCACAATAATATTGACGTAAACCATTTAAATAACTACGGACTGCACTTAAATAAGCAGGGTACATCAGTCTTAGCAAAAAACATAAAGCAATTTCTTAATAGAAATTGACTAGGTAACGACAATAATAATGACATAAGACACAGCGATAATAATATAGTCGACAAAGATAATTCCGATAGTCCAGCACGCTGCACCTCGAAAAGCCCAAAAATTCCTTTCCAAATTAATAAGTCTTATCCAAAACTAAAGGGTTTTAAAATTGGCCACTTAAACATTACTAGTTTGCCGAAACACATGGATGAGCTTAAATTATTCATGAAGGAAATATCATTCGACATTCTTTGCATAAACGAAACTAGATTAGACAATACAATTAACGACAATATTATTACGATACCAGGTTATGATATTGTAAGACGAGACCGAGATCGAAATGGTGGCGGTGTAGCAATTTATATAAGAAGTATCATTAGTTATAAAAACCATATCGAATTCATTCCAGACAACTTAGAATCTATTTGTCTTGAAATTCAAAAACCTAAGTCAAAACCACTCTTAATTGTTACATGGTATCGTCCACCAAATTCTAACACTAGCATATTAAACGACTTCGAAACGTTACTGCGAAAACTAGATGATACAAATATTGATATTATTATCACTGGCGACCTAAATTGCGATATGATGGCAAACAGTCCCACTCATGACTCATCATACAAAAAGGTTATCCGATCTGATAAATGAGTTTCAGCTAAAGCAACACATTACAAGTCCGACTAGAATAACGACAACATCTAAAACATTAATTGACATAATAATGACTAAAGCAAGCGATACCAAAATTATAGACTCTGGAGTGATACATTTAGGACTGAGTGATCACAGTTTAGTGTACATTTGCCGCAAAGTAGGAATACCTAAGGCTGAACCAAAAATTGTAGAAACAAGGCAGTTTAAATACTTTAATTCATCTGCATTTCAATACGACTTAAAAATGGCATTTCAAAGACACAACAACCTCTATAATTATGCCGACCCCAATCATGCGTGGGAGGTATGGAAAACTATTTTTCTTGATATTGCAAATATGCATGCTCCACTTCGGATTCGGAAAGTCAAAAGTGAGCACTGTCCTTGGATGACAAACGAAATAAAATACCTTGCGCATCATAAATTCTACTTGAAACAAAAAGCGGTCAAATTTAACTCTTCTAATTACCACGAAGCTTATAAACGTTGTAGAAATGAACTTAACAAAAGAATCAAAGCAACTAAGGTTCAATTTTACAACACTAAACTACAAAACAGTAAAAATAGTAATGAAGGTTGGAATACATTAAATAATCTGCTTAATAGGAAATCCAAAACCACAATTGTTAATGAACTTAGCGTAGACCATGGAAAAAATGTAACACAAGATAAAGCCATAGTCGACGAGTTTAATAAATTCTTCACTTCTATAGGTCCCAAATTAGCAAATAACATTGCTGACAATGGCTGTAGTCCTGATCCTTTGTCATATATAGACCAAGTCACAAATGTATTTCACTTTCATAGCATATCAAGCTATGAGCTGAAAAGAGAAATACAAAATATGCAAATAGCAAAATCTACAGGTCTAGATAAGATCTCAACTAAGCTAATAAAACAGGCAGGCGATACAATAACTGAATCACTTCTAGAAGTGTTTAACCTATCTCTTAGGACAGGAATATTTCCAGATGATTGGAAATTTGCCAAAGTGACTCCAATATATAAGTCAGAAAACAAAACCTTATGTGAAAACTATAGACCGATATCAGTCATTTCGAATATCGCCAAAATATTTGAGAAATTAGTCTGTAGACAACTAAATACCTTCCTGGATAACAACAACATAATTCTAAAAAATCAATCAGGTTTCCGTCGCAGTCACTCAACCGAAACCTCGTTACTACAATCTACTGAAATGTGGTTGAAATCAATGGACCAGGGTCAAATAAATGGGGTTATTTTCTTAGACCTGAAAAAAGCATTTGATACGATTGATCACCAGATTCTATTGTCAAAACTACAAGCTTATGGGATACGCGACCACACGCTCAAATGGGATACGCGACCACACGCTCAAATTGCACTCCCAAAGAAATCAACGACCCACGCTTTGGTCTACCTTTTACATTCAATCTTGGTTGCTCTTGAAAGAGGTTCCTGTACTGCCAGATTGTTCTTTGCAGATTTCAAGAAAGGTTTTGACCTAGTAGACCACAATGTTATTATTAAAGAATTAACCCTGCTTGGTACCCATCCCTCTATAATTCGGTGGATTAAAGCCTTCCTCTGCGATCGCGAACAATGTGTCCGGGTGGGAACTTCTATGTCCTCTTGGAAGAAAACAAATGGTGGCTTGCCACAAGGTACAAAGTTGGGTCCATTATTGTTTGCTGTTCTCATTAATTCCTTACTTAAAAACTGGCCCAGTAGGATCAAGTTTGTGGATGACACCTCAGTCCTAGAGATTATACCACGTTTTTCATCCAGTTTAATGCCATTAGTCGTAAATGAAATCTCGGACTACGCCTTAGAACGTGGAATGGAACTAAATTATAAGAAATGCAAACAAATGTTGATCAACTTTCTTAAATATAAAGGATCTGATGATGAAAACCCGATCTATGTTGCAGGTAAACCGGTGGAAACTGTGTCCTCTTTCAAACTCCTAGGTGTATGGATATCAAATGACTTGTCATGGAATACTCATGTCGACATGGTATTGAAAAAGGCAAATTCTCGCTTATACGCATTGCGTCTGTTAAAAAAGGCTGGTCTCCAAGCATCTGATATCGTCCAAATATATATCTCATTCATCAGATCCAGAATTGAATATGCATCCCCTGTATGGTCGTCAATACCTAAATCATTATCTGACATTCTCGAATCTGTTCAAAAGAGAGCATTGAGAATAGCTTATCCAGATCTGTTATATGATGAAGCCCTTGAAATTTCAAACTTACAGTATCTGAGTACTCGCAGAGACATCTCTTGCAAGAAATTCGTCGAATCTCTGCGACGTGATGTTTCACCCTACAACCCTTTGACCCAAATTATGGAAATTCGTCCCGGGGTAAAAACTCATGACTATGACTTAAGGAATGACAGAACGGCCGAACAACCTTTATGGTCAGAAACCACTGAACGGTTAAAAAACTTCGTGACTAGGAAATATTATTAGCTTTATAGTTAATTAACAGTCCCAACTAAATAAACATTATTTTATATAATATATATATATGTACATTTTAATATAAATTTTTATGCTATATTAGTACTCCATGTAATTCAGTTTTCCTTTAAAAACTGCAAATTGGTTTTAATTAAACAGATTGATTGATTGATTGATTGATTGATTGATTGTATTTAGATCAAAGAAAGCAAATTTGCATGCAAAATAACTGTAAATCTGATATTGAAACAATTCGTTGTGGAGTACCTCAGGGTTCAAATCTTGGACCTCTATTATTTCTCATTTACATAAACGACCTCCCAAACTGCCTAGAAACAACACATTCTAATTTATTTGCTGATAACACAATTTTATCATGTCAAGGGCATTTATCCATAGATATTGAATACAAACTTAACAAAGACCTAGTAAATGCTCAAAAATGGTTATCAGCGAATAAACTAACATTAAACAACGAAAAAACCAAATATATGATTATTGGATCTCGGCAACGATTGAAAAACTTAGATCACGCGCCAAAAATCAGTATAAACGGACATCAAATTGAACGAGTTTATAAAAAGGAAGCTTTGGGTATAGTTATAGACGATAGACTTAGCTGGAATAAGCAAAATGAAGAACAATGCAACAAGATATCAAAAAATATTAATCTTTTAAGAAAAGCCAAAGATTTTGTTGGCCTAGATACGCTCAAAATTATGTATAACGCATTAGTCGCGCCTCATTTTAACTACTGTTCAACTGTTTGGCAAAATAACAACCAAACACACTTTGACAAATTATATAAGCTTCAGAAACGAGCAGCAAGAATAATAACAAATTCGGACTATACTATAAGATCTTCGGACATTTTTCAAAAACTTAGCTGGAAACCTCTTGACTTAGTTTTGAAAAAGCGAGATCTCCTTATGACATTTAAAGCGATTAATGGCATCCTTCCAGAATACGTAACACAACTATTTCACACTTGCGAAAACAATGGTTACGTACTGCGCAGTAGTAATTTAAAGCTGTCTCAACCTAAACCAAAAACGAATTTCTTGAAAAATAGCTTTTCGTACAGAGGAGCAGCGTATTGGAACAACATCCCAGTAAACTTGTTGAAAACCCTAAGAAAATCAACAAGTTTAAAATCTGTCCATCATCTATTAAATAATTACATCTTGTAAATAAGTAAATAAGTAAATAAGTATATTTTGTAAATAAGTATAATTTAGTTTATTAGTTTCTTTCTTTTATAATGCATTTATTTTCCGCACGGCCCTTTGAAAATCACCTATGTCAAAGGTTACCGTGTTTAAAGATCAATAATAATAATAATAATAATAATAATGGCCAGAAACGATTTTATCCGATAGTGGGCAGAAGCGATTTTATCTGGTAGTGGCCAGAAGCGATTTTATCTGGTAGTGGCCAGAAGCGATTTTATCTGGTAGTGGGCAGAAGCGATTTTATCTGGTAGTGGCCAGAAGCGATTTTATCTGGTAGTGGCCAGAAGCGATTTTATCTGGTAATGGCCAGACGCGATTTTATCTGGTAGTGGCCAGAAGCGATTTTATCTGGTAGTGGTCAGACGCGATTTTATCTGGTAGTGGCCAAAAGCGATTTTATCTGGTAGTGGCCAGAAGCGATTTTATCTGGTAGTGGCCAAAAGCTATTTTATCTGGTAGTGGCCAAAAGCGATTTTATCTGGTAGTGGCCAAAAGCGATTTTATCTCGTAGTGGGCAGAAGCGATTTTATCTGGTAGTGGGCAGAAGCGATTTTATCTGATAGTGGCCAAAAGCGATTTTATCTGGTAGTGGCCAAAAGCGATTTTATCTGGTAGTGGCCAGAAGCGGTTTTATCTGGTAGTGGCCAAAAGCGATTTTATCTGGTAGTGGCCAGAAGCGATTTTATCTGGTAGTGGCCAAAAGCGATTTTATCTGGTAGTGGGCAGAAGCGATTTTATCTGGTAGTGGGCAGAAGCGATTTTATCTGATAGTGGCCAAAAGCGATTTTATCTGGTAGTGGCCAGAAGCGATTTTATCTGGTAGTGGCCAGAAGCGATTTTATCTGGTAATGGCCAGAAGCGATTTTATCTGGTAGTGGGCAGAAGCGATTTTATCTGGTAGTGGCCAGAAGCGATTTTATCTGGTAGTGGCCAGAAGCGATTTTATCTGGTAGTGGCCAGAAGCGATTTTATCTGGTAGTGGCCAGAAGCGATTTTATCTGGTAGTGGCCAGAAGCGATTTTATCTGGTAGTGGGCAGAAGCGATTTTATCTGGTAGTGGCCAGAAGCGATTTTATCTGGTAGTGGCCAGAAGCGATTTTATCTGGTAGTGGCCAGAAGCGATTTTATCTGGTAGTGGCCAAAAGCGATTTTATCTGGTAGTGGCCAAAAGCGATTTTATCTGGTAGTGGCCAAAAGCGATTTTATCTGGTAGTGGCCAAAAGCGATTTTATCTGGTAGTGGCCAAAAGCGATTTTATCTGGTAGTGGCCAAAAGCGATTTTATCTGCTAGTGGCCAAAAGCGATTTTATCTCGTAGTGGGCAGAAGCGATTTTATCTGGTAGTGGGCAGAAGCGATTTTATCTGATAGTGGCAAAAAGCGATTTTATCTGGTAGTGGCCAAAAGCGATTTTATCTGGTAGTGGCCAGAAGCGATTTTATCTGGTAGTGGCCAAAAGCGATTTTATCTGGTAGTGGCCAAAAGCGATTTTATCTGGTAGTGGCCAAAAGCGATTTTATCTGGTAGTGGCCAAAAGCGATTTTATCTGGTAGTGGGCAGAAGCGATTTTATCTGGTAGTGGGCAGAAGCGATTTTATCTGGTAGTGGGCAGAAGCGATTTTATCTGGTAGTGGGCAGAAGCGATTTTATCTGGTAGTGGGCAGAAGCGATTTTATCTGGTAGTGGGCAGAAGCGATTTTATCTGGTAGTGGCCAGAAGCGATTTTATCTGGTAGTGGCCAGAAGCGATTTTATCTGGTAGTGGCCAGAAGCGATTTTATCTGGTAGTGGCCAGAAGCGATTTTATCTGGTAATGGCCAGAAGCGATTTTATCTGGTAGTGGCCAGAAGCGATTTTATCTGGTAGTGGCCAGAAGCGATTTTATCTGGTAGTGGCCAGAAGCGATTTTATCTGGTAGTGGCCAGAAGCGATTTTATCTGGTAGTGGCCAGAAGCGATTTTATCTGGTAGTGGCCAGAAGCGATTTTATCTGGTAGTGGCCAGAAGCGATTTTATCTGGTAGTGGCCAGAAGCGATTTTATCTGGTAGTGGCCAGAAGCGATTTTATCTGGTAGTGGTCAGAAGCGATTTTATCTGGTAGTGGCCAAAAGCGATTTTATCTGGTAGTTGACAGAAGCGATTTTATCTGGTAGTGGGCAGAAGCGATTTTATCTGATAGTGGCCAAAAGCGATTTTATCTGGTAGTGGCCAAAAGCGATTTTATCTGGTAGTGGCCAAAAGCGATTTTATCTGGTAGTGGCCAAAAGCGATTTTATCTGGTAGTGGCCAAAAGCGATTTTATCTGGTAGTGGCCAGAAGCGATTTTATCTGGTAGTGGCCAGAAGCGATTTTATCTGGTAGTGGCCAGAAGCGATTTTATCTGGTAGTGGCCAGAAGCGATTTTATCTGGTAGTGGCCAGAAGCGTTTTTATCTGGTAGTGGCCAGAAGCGATTTTATCTGGTAATGGCCAGAAGCGATTTTATCTGGTAGTGGGCAGAAGCGATTTTATCTGGTAGTGGCCAAAAGCGATTTTATCTGGTAGTGGCCAAAAGCAATTTTATCTGGTAGTGGCCAGAAGCGATTTTATCTGGTAGTGGCCAAAAGCGATTTTATCTGGTAGTGGCCAAAAGCGATTTTATCTGGTAGTGGCCAGAAGCGATTTTATCTGGTAGTGGGCAGAAGCGATTTTATCTGATAGTGGCCAAAAGCGATTTTATCTGGTATCAATCAATCAATCAATCAATCTGTTTAATTAAAACCAATTTGCAGTTTTTAAAGGAAAACTGAATTACATGGAGTACTAATATAGCATAAAAATTTATATTAAAATGTACATATATATATATTATATAAAATAATGTTTATTTAGTTGGGACTGTTAATTAACTATAAAGCTAATAATATTTCCTAGTCACGAAGTTTTTTAACCGTTCAGTGGTTTCTGACCATAAAGGTTGTTCGGCCGTTCTGTCATTCCTTAAGTCATAATCATGAGTTTTTACCCCGGGACGAATTTCCATAATTTGGGTCAAAGGGTTGTAGGGTGAAACATCACGTCGCAGAGATTCGACGAATTTCTTGCAAGAGATGTCTCTACGAGTACTCAGATACTGTAAGTTTGAAATTTCAAGGGCTTCATCATATAACAGATCTGGATAAGCTATTCTCAATGCTCTCTTTTGAACAGATTCGAGAATGTCAGATAATGATTTAGGTATTGACGACCATACAGGGGATGCATATTCAATTCTGGATCTGATGAATGAGATATATATTTGGACGATGTCAGATGCTTGGAGACCAGCCTTTTTAACAGACGCAATGCGTATAAGCGAGAATTTGCCTTTTTCAATACCATGTCGACATGAGTATTCCATGACAAGTCGTTTGATATCCATACACCTAGGAGTTTGAAAGAGGACACAGTTTCCACCGGTTTACCTGCAACATAGATCGGGTTTTCATCATGAGATCCTTTATATTTAAGAAAGTTGATTAACATTTGTTTGCATTTCTTATAATTTAGTTCCATTCCACGTTCTAAGGCGTAGTCCGAGATTTCATTTAATTTGGCATTAAACTGGATGAAAAACGTGGTATAATCTCTAAGGCCGAGGTGTCATCCACAACCTTGATCCTACTAGGCCAGTTTTTGAGTAAGGAATTAATGAGAACAGCAAACAATAATGGACCCAACTTTGTACCTTGTGGCAAGCCACCATTTGTTTTCTTCCAAGAGGACATAGAAGTTCCCACCCGGACACATTGTTCGCGATCGCAGAGGAAGGCTTTAATCCACCGAATTATAGAGGGATGGGTACCAAGCAGGGTTAATTCTTTAATAATAACATTGTGGTCTACTAGGTCAAAACCTTTCTTGAAATCTGCAAAGAACAATCTGGCAGTACAGGAACCTCTTTCAAGAGCAACCAAGATTGAATGTAAAAGGTAGACCAAAGCGTGGGTCGTTGATTTCTTTGGGAGTGCAAATTGTTTGGTGTCAAGTTTATTTACAACTTCAGGGAAAAAATTGTCCAAAGTACAATCCTCCATAACTTTGGCGATCTGGGATGTTAAAGATATTGGTCGTAGGTCGTCTTCAATACTCTTTGGGGGTGATACCTTAGGGACAGGCACTACAATAGATCTCTTCAATGCCTTTGGGAAGGTGCCTTGTGTCATGGATGAGTTGAAAATGTCTGAGATAACTGCGGCAAGCTCAAAGGCAAATGTTTTCAGGATTTTATTTGGAAACATGTCAGGACCCGGTGATTTTGTGGTTTTAATTTTACTAAGTTTCATATAGATCTGTTGGGCGTCAACGAGGTAATGGTTTGGTACTTCTAGGCCCTCCTGGATTTCGTCGAGAGTTAGAGGGTCAAAATGTGATGTAAGGGCAGTAAGAAAGTTATTAAAATTTTCGGCCAGTTCTTCGCAATTCCGAACATCATCAGAAAATAGTTGAGACCAAAAGGCCGTATCCTGCTATCTCTGAGATCGCGTTTCCATATATGTGAATTGTCTGGCTTTGAGGGAGAAGGTTGGGCTTTCATAAGAATCGTATAATGATCACTGGTTCCAATGGGAGGAAGTTGGATTGATTCGTAAATATTATCCACCTTTGAGTTGGTTAAACACCAGTCTAAAGTTACATCAGCTCTGGTAGCTACCTTGACTATCTGCGTCAGACCAGCAATTCTTTTAAGATGGTTTGCATCGAGACCCGTGCTTCTAAAATTGAAGTCGCCCGTAATTAGGACCAAAGCTTTAGGGTGGGAATATAAAAATGAGTCCACATTGGTTTGAATGTGTGAATACAATTCTACATTTTCAGTTTGGCGGGATGCTGTTGAATGGTAAACAACAGCCAGTAAGATAACCGAGACAGAGCGGGGTAGCTTCTTTGGTCTCACTGATAACCACAGTGATTCAATCGAAGAGTTTTCAAATTCCTCAATTCGTCTACAATAGATATTGCTATTTATGTAGGCACAAACACCTCCGCCGTTTGAAACCAGTCTATCGTTCCTAAACAGATTGAAATTGGACAAGGATACCAAGTTGTCAGGAATTGCAGGAGATAACCAAGTCTCTGTAATGCAGACCATGTCCGTTTGGTTAAAAGACACCACAGCGTCAAGTTCGTCGACCTTGGACGTCAGGGAGCGGAGATTACAAATTAAAAGGTTTGGTATTTTGGTGGAGGGTAACGTAGACTCAAATTTTAAGCGTTCATTTGCGTGCACAACGCAATGTTGAATCTCATCAGTTTTCGGCGCTAAGGACATCACATTGGAAAGGAGAACACTTGGAACGAATACATTTTCTGGAGCACATGCAACTGTTGATTCCATCGCGGTAGCGAGGGTAATTTGGACACAGTTTGCAGGATTATGAATTCTGGCTGATGTCAATGTTGTTGGTATTTGTTTGGTATGTCTGACTTTTCGCAATTGCTCAGGATTTACAAGTCCATTAGCGATTGGGTTACGCTGTGATGTGATTGTGTCTCGGTTAGTAATTCGTACAGGGATAGGGATAGGTAAAGTTAAAGGGTGGTGCGGTCCCTGGTGCCGTTGTTGGAGTGTTGTCATTGTGTTAATCGGCGAACAAGATTTAAGTGATGTAGCCAGTCGTTCGTGTGTCGATATATATATATATATACATATATATATATATATATATATATATATATATATATATATATATATATATATATATATATGAATGGGTGTGAGGTACCATGTCTGGATAGTGTATGAACTTGGCTTTAAGATTTCTTCAGACATAAAAATACACAAAGTATATTTTCCAAACGTTTCTCCTTTTACGGCTTCGTCAGTGGAATGCTTTTTACAAAAATATTTCCTCCTATTTGCATAAAACTAATTAAAATACTAAATGTACAATGAGTATGCTCATGTATATAAAAATATGCAAAACATGCAATTGATTTATTGTATTTTAAACTACAGGACAATAAATCAATTGCATGTTTTGCATATTTTTATGTACATGAGCATACTCATTGTACATTTAGTATTTTAATTAGTTTTATATAAATAGGAGGAAATATTATTGTAAAAAACATTCCACTGAAGAAGCCGTAAAAGGCGAAACGTTTGGAAGATATACTTTGTGTATTTTTATGTCTGAAGAAATCTTAAAAGCCAAGTTCATATATATATATATATATATATATATATATATATATATATATATATATATATATATATATATATATATATATATATATATATATATATATATATATATATATATATATATATATATATATATATATATATATATATATATATGTTAATCACCGTAGGAAAGTATTTTTTAGTGAACAGGAAAATATATAAATATATATATATATATATATATATATATATATATATATATATATATATATATATATATATATATATATATATATATATATATAATCATATATATATATAATCATATATATATATAATCATGCAACAGAAAAGATTTCGGTTGGTCGCTGCATAGATTTTGGTCCTTTTTAGGAGCCTCCTGAAAAGCGTCAAAAGCTCGACTTTGTTGGGTAGGTTCCAACACCATTCGAACGACCGGTGGCCCGTTGGTGTAATGGTTGGGGGAGCCCACCGAGATGATCGACCCTGTGCCCGCTCTCTTAGATGTATCACGGATGGGTTCTCGCAAACGCTCAAGACGTCACGTTCAGAAACTCAAATCACTTCGTTTCTGGTGCGTTGCACCGTCACTCCAATCGTTGGAAAGATATTCCCCAAGCCTCACCTGAGCGTTGACGTTCTCGAGGATTCTGACGGCAGACGCCTCGTGATACATCAGCGCATTGATAAGACTCTGTGATGTTAAAAAACTATATAGAGTTGTTCCTATCCGCCCGTGTTCTAATCCCGTTCTATGCCCAGTGTAAACTTTACGTGTAATACTGTAGGGCCGCCAATATAGATCTCTCCACAGGATATCTCTTTGCCAAAAGAATCAAAGCTCTACACCGTGTTTTTAGCTTCCTCCGTCCACTCAGATGGTCAGCCTCTACGCCCCGACAGATAAAGTTTTGGGAATTTCGAGTAGCTCTCCTACTCTAGCCTGCAAACCGCTTTAATATGGACGATGAGGTATTATATAATCAGAATTCAGAGGCACGAATATATTGCTTGGATACCATTCTGCTTTGGTGAATAGTAGCTAGATTGGTGAAAACATTTGAGTTTCGGGATTTTAGAAGAGTGTGAGCACTGGGAAGTTACAGGTAGTGTTGAGTGCGTTCATTGGAAGGACTCGTACTCTTCCCATAACTCTTTTATTAAGTAGGCTCCGTGAAGCTGGATTGTACTTAAAATAGATTACTATTTTAAGTGCAATCATGCGTAACGAAGAGTATTAAAGTAAGGAGAGTGAATATATTATCACAGTTTGGCGTTTGAGAAGCGGTTATGCAGGACTCGATGAATGTTCACAAGTTGGGTGGGGCGGTTTGTTTATTTTAGTTTTGAGTCGAACATTGTTTAGGGACTACGTTTCACCCGCCCGCCCAGTCCCTTTGAGTTCCTAGCTCGTTTCCGGGCCTACGGACTCGTACTCTTCCCATAACTCTTTTATTAAGTAGGCTTCGTGAAGCAGGATTGTACTTAAAATAGATTACGAAATTAAATGCGCCTTAAATGCGCCTTAAGAGGCCGTCTCCGTAAAAACCTCCAGGTCAATATGGGGCTCAAAAATAGATTTCTTTCATACTCTAGTATTTTGAAGATCTATCCTTGGGAACAACTAAAATCGATTTCATTTTACTCAAATTTCCTTTAAATTATTTTTGCGGGCGATTAATGTTCAACCGGCTGGTAACCAACTTGAACTCCGAATGAAGGCAGAATATCGACATATTTTCAGCGCTATTTTTTAAATCAAATTCAAATCTAAATTTCGAAATTTTTGCTCAGAAATATAGACTTATCCTTCTATTTTCGTTAGTGATATGATTTAGATGTTTATTCTTTGGTGTAAAATCGAAACCCACGCAGTTATTGACCCTCCTGAACGGATAACGGATATCGTCTCAAAATATATCAACTTTGAAAGCTTATTTCAAAATCGTGGCACTTGATTGGCACATGACTTTAACTTTTCTATAAACTACTAAAATTAATCAACACAAATCGGCAATAATATCTTTCTGATTTACCATTTGACAAACATGACAAGCGCGCAAACTTTGTAAAATTTGAAAATGTGTCGAAATCGAGCATACTTTATCGGTACTAAACCTAATTGTTGATATTAACAAATAAAACCACCTTTACACTACACTGAATGAAGCTTGATTATGTAAATATATGCTTTCATCATTATTCTTCGGTTTTGCACTCGAAAATAATTGATTTCTGACAATGAACTGGACCAGCTGATTTCTGATTACATAAATCGACATGGAGCTACCTTAGGACTGACGTATATTACTGGTTATTTGCGATCCATTGGGTTCCGCATCCAGCGACAACGAATTCGAGAAGGTATGACAAGAGTGCAGCCACGAAATGCAATTCTCAGATGAGGAATGATTGTACAACGTCGAAAATATCATGTTCCATGGCCAAATTCACTATGGCATTTAGATGGCCATCATTCGTTGATACGATGGAATCTCGTTGTTCATGGTTGTATCGATGGATTTTCAAGAAGAATCATATATTTGCAATGTAGTACAAATAACTTGTCTGAGACAGTCCTTGCCCTGTTTCTCAATGCCACAGAAGAAGATGGAGGATTATGGCCTTCAAGGATTCGAGTGGATAGAGGAGTAGAAAACGTTCGTGTATGTGATGCTATGGTGGAAGCAAGAGGTGAGGGTAGAGGCAGTTTCATAGCCGGGCCATCAACACACAATCAACGAATTGAGCGGTTATGGTGCGACGTATTTCGCTGCGTGCTTCATTACTTTTACTACGTATTTTATGCCATGGAAGATGCTGGCATTTTTTTTCTTGACAATCCCACGCATGTTTTTTATATTACACTCTGTATTTCTGTCTCGAATTAATCAAGCACTGCAGGAATACAAGCGTGCTTTTAACCACCATGGCGTTCGGACAGCCAATAATTGGTCGCCAAATCAAATGTGGCTAAATGGAATGATGAATGCGGAAAACCATTAGCACACGAGGGACTGGATGACACTCCCGATGACTTACAGTTTTATGGATACGATCGTAATGGTCCATCCCCCTTCGAAGATAGCGATAACAACGTTGGTGGTTCACCTATATATCATAATGAGACCACTGCAGAAATTTTAACCATTCTTCCCCTCAACAGTTGATCCTCTCAGACCTTCCACTGAAATGGGAATCGATGTGTATCTTGATGCTCTTGGTTTGGTTGAAAACATGCTGAGAGAGCAGACGGAATGAACAGGAATTTTGGAAAACAGGTAGAACATGTGGTTGTAAAACTTGTAAAAAAAACTCCTTTACAATAGTTTAATTTATTGGCAACTCTCATTTGTAGCCGAACACAGGGATTCGTATTGCATTTATTGTATTTTTTTGTTACAAAACACCACATCTCCTTCTTTGTCTTTTAGACAATGCAATACAATTGTCTATTTGTTTTCATTATGGCATCACAAACAAATTGGTACACAAGGCGTACATATATCTACATATATCTATATCTATAGATACGGGTTCGTTCATTCACGGTTGTTTCTGTGTCACAGTTGTAGAAGTCGATAATGGGAATATGGGATGTAAGTGATTGCATAATAGTATTGAATAATAGATGAAGAGGGGTGTGGCAAGTGAGGCATCATGTTATCCAGCCTCTGGAACCCCCAACCATCCCAAAACAGTTGAAAATAGTGTGTGAAACATAGCTTGTGAAAATTGAACAAGCTGAAAAAGTCTTTAACATTAATTTGCACTGTACCCTAATGCACCCAACTTTACTATATTACTTTGTATAACACCAGGTGATTTAATTGCATTGTCAAAGAGAGCGGATGGGTGAACAACTTTGTCTGAGAACTGGTGAAAATGGCATAACACAAAATAGCGAGAAACTCGTGGGGAAAACACAATAGGTCCAATTATACGAGCAGAATAAGTCACGATCTAAACAAGCCGCGACTGCGGCACAATAAGCAGCGAACGACTCGTATAAACAGTCAATTTTCAAAAAGCCGCAGCTTATACTTACTATTTCGGCGTAATGTACACCACTGGGCTTATTTTGGCCGCGGCTTGCGGACAAATTGACTGTTTATACGATCACGAGCTGTTCGAAAAAGAGTGTCTGGATCATATGTCATTAAAAAACAAGATATTTTTTGCAAGATATATACTTTCCACTAAGAAGGTTCTTCATTAGCTGATGTCTTAGAACGTTTTCAAATTTTGTAAACAGTGTCTTAAACAGTGACTTGATTTAACAATTTTAAGTTGCATGCAATATCCCACAAACAAGGGTATTTTAACAAAAAAACAACAATTATTTGCGTCCGAAATATGCATTTAAAAAAGCCATATCGTACAGTTGAAACAAGGTTTCCTCATCTGGCAAAGCAATCTCAAGACTGATGGTGTTGGTAGCAGTAATCTGCAGCAAGCATGTATTTGCCGTTGGTATAAAGGATTTATTTTCAGCTACTTCGTGAAATGTCGTAGACGGTTTTACTCCATTTTCATATCCAAGAAGTGGTACCTCCTCATCACAAGTAGCAAATTGTAGTATATTATTTAGGCTAATGTCACTACGATCGCCACCCAAATGGAAATCGATACATTTGTCATTCATTTTTGGCACATGGATTGATAAATTACATACAAAAACAATTTTACTACACTGCTTTTGCATTTTTTGTTTGAAATAATAAAAATCCACGATTAAATTCTTACTTGCTACACTTCTGAGATATTTCAAAAATGCTGAATACACTTGATTTTCAAACTTCCGTTTGTTACTTCCAACTTCACTAAAATCTGGCTGAAGGAGGGTGGTTAATGACTTCACAGTAAGATTTTTTCCAGTACGCCCTTCACATTGTTACTATAGACTATAGTACTGTAAATATGTAAACTTTTTATTGGGCCAAATTAAAAAAAGAGAAATGCGTGGCACACATAGACCACATACTAAACTTTATTTGCCTATTAAATAGAGAATAATACATGGGAGCTTGGAAATACCAGATTTATCATGTTCAACACGAGAAATAAATGTGGTATATCCAAGCAGCCATGTATTTTTCTGTTTATTATATAAACAAAATTCAGTGAAAAACAATAAAACCTCCGTGGCAATGCGTTTTACAACAAATGATATTTTCACAGGTAAAAATATCGTATTTTTTACGTGTTTTTAAATACGATTTTTTTCAGTGGCCAAAAACTCTATATAACACTTATGTTTATAGAATAAAAGCACTTATCTTTCGTTACAAACAACCCTCAAGTAGCAATAGTCAGTGGATTCACATATAACAACCCACACGACTTTCGGAACGGTTTAACTGTTTGCGTCGTTAGGAGGCGTGAAAATTTTGTAAATAACGAAGCAGTTTGAACAACTACAACGGCGCGCTAGGATTCGTGGGTGAAAGATAGATATTGAATACTGGGTTTAGGAATATGAATATTCAAAACAAAAATTGGGGATGAACAACCCCTCCCCCCCCCCTCCCTCTGTCGCCAGAGTTTTTAAGAATTTTTAAATCAAAGGGATATGTCAATAAAATTAACTTTGTCTTATTTGAAAGAACTTTTAAACTAGTTATATATTTGAAGACCCTTTACAACTTTTTCGTACCTTGCTTGGTTTTCGAAATATTTTGACCAAAAACAGTGTGCACTGTGCCGGTCCGCCATCTTGGCATTATAATTACCTAATTATGACTGAGTTTTTGATTACGTCACAAGCAGGGTAAACTTGTTAAAACTTCATGTGGGACTAAATTTCTTCGAAAAGTATATGTTAAAATTTTGTGAGTTAATTGAGCACTAAAAAGACTTCGCAATTCGCAAAATCGAGTTTTATATTGATAATGACATGTGGTTTGCAACATAAAAAGTTTGCTTTTTACCCGTTGTAGTCTGCGTGGCAGGCTCATTGAGCCTGTAACTCGATTTATTTCGAAAACCTAGCTATAACAACGGCCCAAGGGCCTGCACGCGGGCTAGATATGGAATAATTGTAAAGGAAGTTTATATATCATTTTAAATGTTATTTTGTTTTGCCATATCCCTTAGTTAAGATGAATTTTGGAAATAGGGTTGTTAAATATTAAAGGAAAATATTCCTCTTTCACCTTCGGTAATAGAAAGCTCGAGGGATACAATTTGTAACATCCTTTGTCTTCGAGTAAAATGCTATAATTGATGATCATGTTTGTCGTTATTGACGGCGCAATTGTATTTACCAAACTCACTAATTTAAAGGCATAGTTCCTCCTTTTTCACATGAGTTCGTAGCGAGAATCGAACCCACGATCTCAGAGGTGAAAAGGACTATACGAAGCTGCATTTCCAGGCCCCATTTCAAAACACCTAAGGGTGTGAATGCGTTCCCGAGGTTGTTCTACGTACCATGTTAATATTTCGTTTGGAGAGAGGGGGTGGAGTTGATTCATTACCATGGTAATATACAAATTTTGGATAAAGTGTCAAAGTTAATATTGTTATATTTTTATCAAGCCCAAATTGAAAAAGCTGACTCATCTCTTGAGTGAGGACCACCCGAAAGTTCCGGTGATCGTAAAAGTAATCATGCAAAATAATTATAAATACATTTTCCTAAACTTCATTTTGACCTTCCACTAATGTTAGCTGAACAAAGGTAGTTATATGAGTTGTTATATCAGCTTTGTATTCATGATGTGAATTGGTATCTGTTTAGGAGGGGGCGAGGCAGTGGGCGTTGAGCTTATTACAATCCACAAAACTGCACAAAAGAGACATCTAAAACCGCAGCAAATTTTCAGTGAATTTTGTGAAAAGTGCAGCAAATTTTCAGTTATTTACGTTTCCTTTACGAATCCAAATGCCTGTACGAGGCTAATTTTATTTTGACCTTCCACTAATGGCCGGTTAAACAAAGACTTATATCATGGTGTTGTATCTATGGTGTGAATTAGGAGAGGGCGTTGTGGCCCATTACAATTAAACCACAAAACCTCACGAAAAATCCGTTTCCGAACTGAATCCCAATAAATTTCAATCAAAACCCAAAACCTCATACACAATGCGATGTTATTTAGGTTTGTCATTCCTCGTAATAATGCGGTTTAATGTCAATGAGTATAACATACCGGCTGATATAAAATCGAAAACGGAATCTTAACAACACTCAGTTTGAGCGCAAATGAAGGTCATAACTACCGGTGAGAAAGGCAATTTAAAACACATTAGATATCAAATCCAGAGAACCGAAAACCAAATCCGAAAAACAGGAAAACACAAATTACCAAAACTGACACTCGCAACCGAATATCACAGCTTTTACGCCCGTATTCTAAAAGCTCACTCACACTCAACGAGTGGAGGTTCAATCTGAGCTTCAAATTGAGTATGAAGTGCTGTTTTTGAATAGCTGGAGGATGTGTAGTCACATAGTAAGGTACGACACTAACCCTCCAGCTATTCAAAAATTGCATTGAAACTCAATAGAAGCTCAAATTGGACCTCCACTCATTGAATGTGCATTAGTGTGAGTGAGCTTTTAGAATACGGGCGTAAGTGCGGAAACCGATGCAAAAAATGGCAAAACCGAAAATCCCAACCGCGCCCTCCTCGGTTATAGTAATACTTTTTCAATATCTCTTCATCGACTGTTAGTAGATTTGAAACCCTAATTCGAGGGACCTAACGCGACGGCTAACGACCAAATGAAACTAGGCTTAAGACTTAACAGTTAAGAGTCGCGATTTAGAGCCATTTATTATTTAATTTAAACTTAATTGCATGTCTTTGTTGTATTGTATTCTAGTGTATTCAAATTGTATCAAGTTCGTTTAAATACCTGGTTATCCGTTGTCTGCATCTAAATCATAATACGTTGAACAGTGTTAGAAAAAAAGTCGGGAGAGGGAAATTGGGATGTGTAAATCGGTTGTGATGGCGGGATTTCGGAGAAATAGTTTTTTGGTTTTAGTAGAAGCTTCACGATTTCGGAGCCTAAAGATAAAGTAAACTATTATTTTTTAGGGGGGGGGGATTTCCGAAAGGGAGGCCATATTTCCTAGGAAATATGGCCCGGGGGCAAATTTCCTAGGAAATTTGGCCAGGGGGGGCGGGAATTTCCTGTGACACCAGTACAGCCCCCTCTAATTCGATTCAATAAACTGTACTGTTTATCGCGCTCTTGCCTGAATGGCCTCAGTTTCATGTAGTTATTTCCTCATGTTTTAGGCACAAAATCGAGTTAAGCATACGCACGTAAAAACGCACAAGTTGCAACAAACCTGCAGCAGACTTGTTGCCATGCTGTTCCAACAACTTGTCAACAGAATGTGTTCGCACTGCTTGTTCCCAGCTTGTTAACAAGTTGTCAACGAGCCAACAGATCACGACACTTTTGTATATAAAAAGGGCGTGTGAATTAAACAAGTCAAATATTATTAGCACTGGTGAAGGTCCGGGCTTACGGATCGAAAGCTTTGCAGTAATAAATTTACGTGGTGTTTCCACAAACAAAACTATTATAAGTTGTCAACGGCTTGTTGACAACTTGCTACAAGGGTGTTGATCTCAACAGACTTGTTACAAGTTGTTCCAACAACTTGCTATCATCCTGCAATTCAACAATTTGTCAACAAGTTGTGAGTGACAACCTTGTATAGCAACTTGATGATATAACATGATTGTTACAACTTGTTGACAAGCTTGCTACAAGCCTGTTGCGAACACATCGGGTTGACAAATTGTGAGATTTTTATGTGTCTATCGTGTGTAAGCATGTGTGCATACCGTGCTAAAACAAGCAAACATGAAAGCGAGGCCATTGGAAAAGTCCAATCCTTCACGGCTTCAAATTGGTGTCGTTTATTTGACATGCGAAAAGTAAATATACTCATGTTTGGTTCATCTAATTTAGAGCCCAAAGACAATACTGAGATATTTGAACATGTTCAACAATTCATTAGGGAATCTAAACGTTTTCTTTAATTTCGTCATAGCTACCATCTTTTATTGTTTAATTAACTTATTGTGTTTTACCCTCGTTTGACCTTTCACATTTTTCAGAGAACATGACGTGTATTTGTGCACATTTCACCTTTCAATTTTCATCTTGCTCTTTTATATCCGGCATTTAAAAGAATTTTATCATTAAATTGAACAAAAATAAGATCGTAAAATCTCACTGGTATGTTGAAATTCGACCATATATAGCCAGCTTTTTCATGAGTTGCCAAAAAAGGAATAAAAAGTCTAACCAAAAATGGTCATATTGCATGCTCATATTTAAAAATGATACGAAAGCACACTCACATATATTAAGTTCTTCTAGAAGTGCTTCAACGTTTCATCGTAGCCGCTTTCTTTCAAAAGGCAAGCAGTTAAAAACTAATTATAACTCGTTAAATGGCTAAAATTAGCATTTTCTAGTAGGCCGGTGAAAATACGAATGTGGGTGTAGGTATATAGTTGCCTATAGGCTATAATATAATCTGCTATGTATATGTGTATTAAAATTAGAATGTTAGGGTGTGTAATCCAAGTGAGGATATATACATTTTAAGACCTAACCAGGAACGACTACAAAAAATGCAGCACAAGGTCCTGTGATAGGAATTGAACCTA